TGGGGGCGCGGGCCGGGAGGTCGGCCGCGGAGAGGGGGAGGAGGCGGGGAGACGGCCAGAGTGCTCGTGGACAGAGTGGGGTGTTGGGGGGCTTCGCGCGCCCCCTCGGTCCCGGCGGGTGGCGGCGGCGGCGTCTCCGGACCGAGGACCCACGTTACCGGCCGGGCGGGGCCCGGGTGCGTCTTTCGAAGAGCTTCCCCCGAGTGGCCGCGCAGAGGGCCTTCTCGGGGTCGCAGGGAGGCTTCGCTTGGATTGGCCTTTCGGAATTACCACAGGGGCGTTAGTTGAACACAGGGAAGTCGTAACGTTCGTGTTACTAAAGGAAGCAGGAAAGGGGCACGTTTGGGAACCGTGATGTCGCACCACATTGCTGTCATCACGCTGATTTTCACGTAGGGACCAGTGTGGTCCATGTTTGCCGGTCACTTTAGACGGGTGCCTTGGAGACCAGCGAGTTCAGTGTCCGCAGTACATTTCAAAGAGCCAGTTTCCTTTCTCTCTGGTGTCTCCAGAGCATGTGAGCGCCTGGGGTGACGGCCATCTTGGCGGGGTACCTTTGCACCGGCCCTCGGGGAGCTCGGTGTGGCTGCGCTGATGCACCTCAGGCGAGCAGAGGTGCAGGCGCCGCACCGGGCAGCAGGACTGGCTGTTACTGGCTCTGTGGATGTTCTTTAAGTAAGCACGTGACTTCGGTGAACTGCATCTAGACAACTCCCCGCCAGGGGACTTCCCCCACTAGGGAGAGCAGGTGTCGTGAGGTCCAGGTGGGCTTCTGGAACAAAGAGTGGCAGATTCTCAGAGTCCGCCCGCAGTTCCCAGGGCGGCTCCCGGCTGCTAGCAGGCTCTCACTGCTTTGATCCCTCCTCCGTTGGGCAGTGTGCTGTCCCATCATCCCCTTCACCTCTGAGCTTGTACCTCTCATGTTGACCACTGTTTGAAATTTAAATTCGTGGTGCCTTTGAGACACTTGTCAGTTTGCTTATGGGTCAAACTGTATGATAGTTTTAATTTTTATCATCTGGTATTTCAGAGATGTGAGCAGGCAGAGAGAAAGACATGGGGTTCTGTGAATTTCGAAGTCTTTCTCATTTCCCAAATCTCTTTTGAAATTAAGGCCCAAAATCCATCTTGTGACCTAACTCAGCTAAAAGAGCACTGGAAGAGTTGACAGCTCACCCCCCCATTCCCATCCCCAGTACTACCTTGGGCCAGCCCAGGTGGCTAGCTTTGCTTAACCCACCTAGCATCTCTGGGCATGGCCTTCTTCTCGGCCCCGGGGGAATTCTGAAGATACACGAGAAGGCTCCTTGAAATCTGAAACACTGCAGACCAGCGCTTTCCAACCACGGGTGATTCTGCATTTGGCAATGTGTGGAGACATTTTTCCTTGTCCAAGATGGTGGAGAGGTACTACTGGCACCTAGGGATAGAGGCCAGGGATGATGGTAAACATCCTGCAGTGCTTGGACAGTCCTCTGATTCTAATCAAAGAATTCACCAGCCCAAATGGCTACAGTGCTGAGGCGGAGAAACCCTGCTCTACACAAAGAGGGGATGTTGCTTTCCCAAGTGATTGTCCCATTTGTGTCTGCTCCTGCCTTCACTGGCTGGTTTACTGGCTGCCAGTGCTTTTTCCCTGTTTTGAATACGTCCTTCTTCCGTCTACAGTATCTGCCATAAACAGAGAGCAGTTGACACCTGTAATGCTTGATACAGTTGTCCACCTGACAGCAAATCAGGCCTTCTCCACAGCTGTGCACACTGGTGTGCAATAGTGCAGGAGAGGGTGGGGCAGCTTTTAGTGTAATTTCACAACTGCAGAAACACTACTCTCAAAACACCTGACTTGAATGTTAGGGTCTCAGGCTGAAAGGCGCCTTTTGTTGGAGTCTTTCATTCACTGGGTTGAATTGATACATGTGCTTATACACACTTATTATTACAGTACTTATTAGTTGTGTTGTAACTGAAACTACATAACAGTATTTTAAGCCACAGGACTAAGCACTTAGGTCATGATACCTGGGCTAGCTCTGCCAGAAGCAGATCAATACCCATGGTCTGCAGGGTGTGGTGCCCAAAGCAGTGGTCCAAGGAGTGGGGGAGTGGTGTGCATGGGCTGCTACCCCTGGGATATTCACATCTGCTCTTAATGCTCTGTGTGGAGTGGCAGAATCTCATGTCACTTTGTTAAGTGCTGTGTTGATTTTTATTGAAGGTCGGCGTTCGAGGAAAAGACATTGTTGTTCTTGGTGTGGAGAAGAAGTCAGTGGCCAAACTGCAGGATGAAAGAACCGTGCGGAAGATCTGCGCTCTGGACGACAACGTCTGCATGGCATTCGCGGGTGAGTCGGGGGCTGGTGCTCTGTTCCTCGGAGGCTCGGCGAAGACGTGCGCTTTGGAGGTTAGCCTGAAGGGTGGGCTATTGGGAGACATGTAAACCGGCTAAACTAAAATCATTTAAAAGCATCGATTTGGGCCTTTAAGAAAACGTTTGGCCATGGTTTGGGGGGCAGGGAGCTTTCCTTCTCAGGTGGCTGAAGCACAGGGGCTAAATGAATAAACCCCAGGACGAGGGGGCTGTGCTGTTGCCTCCACTGCTGCTATCAGCCCGATGCTGGATCGGAGTTACAGTCTAGAGAAAGGTCAGGCTCTCCACAGCTAACTGCACCTGTGAAGTGGAGAGAGCCGGACAGTGCCCTGTTGTCAGGGCCTGCAGTGTGTTCTTGGCACTTGGGTCGTTTGACTCATTGCCTCCCTCAAGCAGGTCCAGTTCAGGAAGATCCGCGTTCACCTAAACTAGAGGTTGACTTGCCTTGTCAAAGGATTAGTGTGTTTAAATATGCTCTGACAGGCACAATTCTTTGTACACCCAACTTTCTCAGAGAAGCTCACAGAGGCCAATCATTCCACTGTCATCACTCAGAATGACCTCAGTGTTGGTTTCACAGAACTGGTTTTGGAATCTTTGCCAAAGGTTAGCGCTGTCCACTTGTGTGATCTGTGCTGTCCTTGCTTGGAGTAGACGAGGTGTGGCTCAGGTGGGATCCTCTCTGCCATCGTTGCAGGCCTCACCGCTGATGCACGGATAGTCATCAACAGGGCCCGGGTGGAGTGCCAGAGCCATCGGCTGACCGTGGAGGACCCGGTCACTGTGGAGTACATCACTCGCTACATCGCCAGTCTGAAGCAGGTGGGTGCCCACTTGCCCATGACCAGTTCTGGCTAGGAGCAGTCGCTTTGTCATGGAAGGTGTCCTCCCTTGGTGTTGCGCGTGGATGGTTGCATGTGTCACTTTAGGGGAATCAGACAACTGCACTTGTTCCACGCGCAGTCCCATCTGTCCTTGTACAGGTGTAATTTACTAAAGCTTGTCCATTTCAGCAGCATTGTTCTGTTCTCATTTAGGTGCAGTCCAAATTCCTATTGCTGGAGGGCAACGATAGTTTTTATCTTGCCATTCTGAATGATGGGTCACTAAGCAGCTGGGAGGGGGCTGAAAAACACTCCCCCTCTGGTGAAATGCTAGTCGTCCTTAAACCTAACTGTGTAGCCAGAATGCGTGTCTGTCATCAAAATAATTCCAAAGTCTCAGTTGTGCTCCATGATGTGATTCTGGTCATAGGAGTGTCTTTTTCTAAGAGTGAAAATGCAGAAAAGAAAGGGGGAATGCTGAAAACTATTGGCTGATTTCATTTATTATTTGAATTGCAAATAACCTGGAAGTGTGCTTAGTAGTTTCTTTTCATCCCTCCACTCAAAGCAGAGCTCGGAATGTCACATATGTTACTTAGGGTGGGTTCTGTGGGGCCTTTCGTGCTATGAAGACGGTGTTAACGCGTTCCTTTTCCCGCCAGCGCTACACGCAGAGCAATGGGCGCAGGCCGTTTGGCATCTCTGCCCTCATTGTGGGTTTTGACTTTGATGGCACCCCCAGACTCTATCAGACTGACCCCTCAGGCACATACCATGCCTGGAAGGTGAGTCTCTGACAAAACAGGGGCTTCAGGGTTTGCAGGCCATTGGGAGGAACTGGGCCTAGTCCTTCAAATGTGTGTGCACGCACACACCACGTTTGTTCCACGACACCCCTACTGGTGTGGGAGCAAAGAAGTCATTAAATGTTGCCGTTCGGGAGAAAGTCAAAGCACAGTGGGGTGTAAGGATACGTGGCCTAAAGGAAAACTGCCTGTGTGCCTTTCAGTAACGAAAAAGAAGTAGATCCCATCCCTGGTAAGAACCAGCACCAACTCCCAATAGCCCTTTGTGAAAGGAAGCCATAGGGCAGGGCCTGGGGCCCAGACCCAGTTCCCTCCAGACTGCCTCTCACCATAGCACATGGGAGAGCAGGCAGGGCAGTGGCTGGCTGGCCCACAGGGGTGGCCCTGTTTTTGGGCTGGCTCTGGATTGTCATGCCCTGCATCATATAATACACCTTTCTGTTTCAGGCCAATGCCATAGGGCGGGGTGCCAAGTCAGTGCGTGAATTTCTAGAGAAGAATTATACTGACGAAGCCATCGAAACAGACGATCTGACCATTAAGCTGGTTATCAAGGCCCTCCTGGAAGTAAGTTTGCATTTGATCTCTGGGCAAGATGGTGAAGACACCCACACCGGGTGGTGGTTCTTGGGCTGGGCAGAATGGGCAACTGACGAGAGGGCAACAAGGAGGTGGCGAGGGTGCCAACGGTAATGCCAGATACCTGAGGGCTTGCTGTGCTGGGCACTGCTCGGCACTTTATTAGCTCCTTTGTAGGCTGGGGCAGTTGAGGCAGCAAGAGGCTAAGTAGTTGGCCAGGAGCGCACAGGTCACAGCCATCACTCAGCCTTGTTGCAGCTCAAGCTGCTGCTGGAGTCGGGATTGGAAAGGAAACTGGGAGTAACGGTTGGGAGTCATGAGGACTTGGGTTTTGTCAAGACGGTGGAGGTGCTGGCAGGTGAAGCCAGAGGCCAGGGCGGGGTAGTTGGAGGACCAGGCTGGGGTCCAGGGTTCAGAGCTCAGATGTGGGAAAGGCTGCATGTAGAGGGGCGAGATGTGAACAGAGCTGCTGTGCAAGAAGGACCAGTGACCCAGCCCAAGTCCGACTGCCAGCAGATGGACGGGCGCAGGTGTCGCTGACCCTTTGCATGTGACGTGCCGGTAGAACAAAAGCTTTGGGTGCTGGGACTTCAGTGTGTCCTGCCCTCTTCCCTCATGTGGCAGTGCTGGGTTCAGGTGCACACACCATCATTGGAGGTGCTTGCCAGAGCTGTTTGGTCTGGAGGTGGGCGAGGTGTCTGATGTTCTTCTCTCCTCTCCAAGGTGGTTCAGTCAGGCGGCAAAAACATTGAACTTGCTGTCATGAGGCGAGATCAGCCCCTCAAGGTAATTACCGAGTTTGTTTGCTGTCTTCACTTATGGAGAGTTCCCCGTGATCAGGGCAGGGGCAGTACAAGTTCAAGACCCTTCTGCTGTGGCTTCAGCACTGGGAAAGAGGTTCTTTCCAAGGCTCTCCACAGTGAGTCAAAAAGAAAGCATTCCAGTGTTGGTCTCCACGGTGTTAAAGATAGTACTCGCGCGTGCTCTTGGCACGCTGAAAAGCTCTCAACTGTGGATTTGCTTCTGCTTTTTAATAGGCTCTGACTGTTGTTGGCTGGATCAGGCACACAGGGCCTTGTTTTCCTGTAGTGGCAGCTGTGAGGTGTAGTTTGGCCAGAGTCCAAGGGGTTCCCTCCCCAAGGGGGCACTGGTGCTCTGGGGCACCTTGTGTGGCTTGGGGGCTAACCATAAATTCTTTTTCTTTGGTAGATTTTAAATCCTGAAGAAATTGAGAAATACGTTGCTGAAATTGAAAAAGAAAAAGAAGAAAACGAAAAAAAGAAACAAAAGAAAGCATCATGATGAATGAAATCTTACTTGTATTGGTTTTTAATTCAAATCATGGATGATTTTCAGAATGACATGTAGGCATTTCCATTCCATTTATCCATACTGTCCAAGTGTCCTACAGTAAACTTCCATATTTTTTAACCTTTTTTTAGAGAGTGTGTATCTTTTGGGTGTAATTATGATAGCTCTTTAGAAAATTTCCCTAACTTCTGGTTTCTGAGCACTCTCGAGTGTGAGCTTTCCGTTCCGTTCCTTGGTGCCAGGCTCTAAGTGAGTGGGTCCTCCCTTGGGGTTTGTGGGAGGGCTTTAAGGAGTCCAAGCAGCATGCAAAGTGCAACAGGTGCTGTGCACGGCTGCAGACAGGCACTGCAGATGGGTGCATCAACTCAGTGTCTCTCCTTGAAGGGTTCTAAACAGATGGACTGACTTTTGGTTTCTTCACAGACCTCCACTCAAATCCTCGAACGTCAAGGACACAAGCACAAACAGCACTCAGTTTAAGTCTTGAACTCAGAACTCTACAGAACAGCAGCTGTGTTCAAATTGTACTGTATTCCTGGATTTAGATCAACACTTAGCATGTCACATATTTTCTATCTTAAGACTTATGGCACTGGCTACTCCCCACCCTCTTGCATTTTAGCCAGAAAGACTGCTCTTTTAGCTTCCAGGCCAGCAGCAGTTTAAGTCATGGTCCTAAGGTTTGTCTTTACAGAAAAATCCTCACCATCTCCTTCACCTGCACAGCTTTGCAGCCTCCCATGAGGCCCTGGTACCAGTCCTTGTGATGGAATTGCCTTTTGGCTCCCTGCACCCCAAGAATACCAGGGTTTTTGGGTCCTCAGGCTGGCCGCCCCTGCCAACTGCTGTTAGGACTCCGGGGCTCTGCTTTCGACCTCAGTCCACAGCTTCTCTTGCTTGGGGTTCTCATCTAATGGCACATAGACATTTTTCCTCTAAAAAGGAGTAAAGAGGCCCAGATGCGTTAAGCTCAGCATAAAATGCATAATTGTCAAAATGGTTGTCAGTGTTAAGAGCAAGGTTAGTCACAGGTGGTAGACTATGACCTGACTAGATTCTCTAGCCGAGAAATACCTGTTTGCTGAGTCACCTAACTAGTTTAGAATTAGTGCCCTGGCTACCTGCATCTAGTATGTACACTATGGAAGACTTGTATTTTTTATTGGTCAAGGACGTTGGTTGCCAAAAAATGAAAGGTTGCCAGGAATTTGTTCAGGTTCTGAAACTGATGGCTGGGCTCAGCAATACAGGCCGACTGCCTGCTGCCCAGTCATGCTCTGGGCCTGACTAATCAGGCAGGTACTGAAGGGAGAGGGACACAGCTGACTGGAGGGGCCTTATCCTCTGAGATTGCTTTTAAAAAGTCACCAGAGGGGCTGGCCCAGTGGCGTAGTGGTTAAGTTCATGTGCTCTGCTTCGGTGGCCTGGGGTTTGCGGGTTCGGATATCAGGCGCAGACCTACACACTGCTCGTCAAGCCATGCTGTGGTGGTGTCCCACATATAAAATAGAGCAAGACTGGACAGATGTTAGCTCAAGGACAAGCTTCCTCAAGCAAAAAGAAGATTGGCAACAGATGTTAGCTCACTAACAGGCCAGTCTTCCTGCCAAAAAAAAGTCACCCGGACATCCATTACAGTGAAATGGGACACTTCAAGTCTGAAAGCAGCCAGGTCTTTGCTTTCCCGCATGGTCCAGGGATCCAGCCCTGTAACGGTCTAAGGGACTGAGAACATGGAAGTTCTGGGGAACTTGGAGGCTGCAGTAAGGCAGCAAAGGGGGCCACTTCTTAAGCAGGTTTACCTGTGAACTGAGTTTTTAAAACTAGTTTGTGTCCAAAGTGTCTGGAGAGCGGTGCCACTCATCCCAGGAGGGTGGCCCACAGTAAACTCAGGCCTGGCTCACTGCCCTTTACCCAGACCAACTGGGTCAGTCTCGCTCAAGAGCACCAGATGTTCCCCCAAATCCTACCAGCCCCTGCCTTCAGATGGGCATGTTAGATGTGATGTGATTTGGGCAGGAGAATCAACAGGACTATTTACTTCCAGAGCAGAGAAAAAAGTCTTAAAGGTTTGCATGTTTATTTATAATTACAATTTACCTTACTCCAACAGAGCAGCCCCATTGCCATGTTCTAATTCTTAGCCATTAAGTCCTACAAAAATAAACCCAAGCTTTTACAGTAACTTAATCAATACAGAACTAAGACCTTTATAGCTGTTTATAGGGGTTTAGTTACCAAGGTGCTTATGTTCAACACAATGCCCTGTCAATCAGAGGGACGCATGCTTATACTAAAGGTCTGACCTAGTTACTCATGCAACCAATTTATATTCCCCACCCTCCCTCCACCCACCTGTAAAACAAAAACACAGAACTATTTACAAGTGAGAGGAAATATGCTCTCGGTCAACCGACCTTGCAAAAAAGACTGGCTCATTTCCAAGTGGATGAGACACCGAACAGTGTTCGGCCAGAGTCCAACACTGACTGGCCAGGGTCAGGAGCTGGCAGGGACAGGGCAGAAAGGACAGGGAGGCCACAGGGGAGCTTGTCCTGAGCTTGGACCCCCAACCCCAATTCCTACGGCAGTCAGGCTCCAAGTGACAGCTCCTAGCTCACGTTCAGGGCCTCCTCCCATGCCTCCAGGTGTCCCCCGACCCCACCAGCCCCAACCTTGACCTTGCCACTCTGGACGTCATGGTTGTCTGGTTTGCTTATACAACATGATCTGTGGGACACCCCATGTTCGCTGCCCTAGCCCCACCCGTCCCCACACACCACCGTGCTGGTGGTGGCCCTGCCTGGCTCCTGAGACCCCACCTGTGGCAGTGGGGGTGCCAGGCCAGCAGCACAACAGGCCAGTTGGGTTACAGAGATGCGCTTGGCTGCCGCATTTGCCAAATGAGATTTGGTTCCACTTTAAAAGTCAAAGCTGTCAAAAAAAAGTCACAAAGTGAGGATCAAGCTTTCGCTCTAGAAACCTTTCTGCAAAATACCAAAACCTTGGAGTTAGGCTGTGCGCAACTACAGAGGAAAGATAGGCCAAGATACCTCAAAGAGGTTACCCATGAAGACTTCCCCCAAAACAAGTGTTTCTAACTCAGACCAGGTCCAAGTTCTCTTAGGTCCAGAACAGTAGTAGTAGTATGGGATTTTCCAAACTCAGCAAACAGAGTGACCAACGTCTCCCCCAGAAGTGCAGCGATTTCCAGTGTCCTCAGACACAGCTTCGTCTGGCTGCTTCAGCAGGAGCCTGCAAGAAGAGGACACGACACCACGTGAACGCGTTCCGCACGTTTCCTTAGGCAGCTACCCAGCGTAAGCCAGGCACGGCGGCGTGTGAGCAGAACAGGAACAGCTGAACCTCTTCCCCACCCCCAAGCCAGGCCAGGGCTCCCCACCACCTTCCCATCATAACCCACAGCGAAAATCGTTTTCGTTCACGGTGGGGACAGGGAGAGGCAACTCCAGGTCCCACTCACCTGGCTGGGAGCGGGTCAGCACCCGGCACACGCATAACCCATTCCCTGCCAGACCCTGGGGGGCACGCAAGTCACCTGAGGCCTCATTAAAAATGCAGACTCTGACTGGGCTGGGCCGAGACCCTGACTTGCAACAGTCCCTCACTTGCTGACCACACCCAAGTAGCAAGCACCCAGCCCTCCTGCACCTGGAACCTCACTTTGACAACCCTAGGGCCTGGGCCCCTCTCCACAGATTCGGGGTCAGTTGGCCTGGGTTGGGTCCAGGTCCCGCGGTCCCTGAGAGGCGCCTGGTGATTCAGAGGGTCAAGGTCCTTGGTTTGGGCTTGATGCCTCATGGCTTCTCCTCCTGGAGGCCAGAGCCAGCCGCTGCCTGGCTCCTAACTCTCTTCCTGGAGAGGCTTCCTACCTGGTGCTCCTGTCCCCATGCCCTCCCGCCAGAGGATCTAAAAGCTTCCCCACTCACCTGCAACTGCATCCTCACACCCTGCCAGTCCCAGCTCTGTGGGAAGTTGGGTTGCGACGGGTTGTACCATTGCCCCTGCCCCCTCGAAATCCACCCCGGAAACTACGGCCACGAAGAAACCTTCCCGACACGCCAAAGGTCTCCGTGTTGAGCTTCCTCTCTTCAGCCCATGTGGTCCGCCTGGAACTGAACCACAGACAAGGTGCATGAGACCGACTGCAGCAAGCACCAACTTGCAGCTTTCTGAGCCAGGCCTCAGCCTCCTACAGCCCAGGAGGGAAGATGGACAGGTGACTGGTTACTGTGTTACTGGAGCCATTAGAGGGGGTGACCCAGTCAGGACCCTGGGGCCTGAGACCCAACACTGCAGATACGCCCAACCACATTTCCAACCAGGTGTGCTTGTCACCAGACTGGGCTGCTCAGTATACAACTCTCATGCCTTCGTCACCTACGGTGACACATGACACTAGTGTGCTACAAAGGAAGCCCTCACCGCTCGCTAGGCCCAGGGCCCACACAGGCTCCAAGACCTGGCAGATCACGGACGCCCCCAGACAAGTTTCTACTAGACGAGGAGGGGATTGGGCTAGATGGAGTGGGGTCCCCGAGAACATGATGCCTATGCTTTGGGGTGGTGGAGACACAACACCCACACTCCACACAGCCCAGCAGCCTTCCTGCTACCCAAATATGCTGCCAACACCCACTCTTCTATCTCCATTGGGGACCCCGGTGTCCAACTGTGTGTCTGGCCAAGGAAGGTGGTGCAGAACTGAACGCTCACGTAGTCACCAGCTGAGGAGGGCGGTGCCGAACTCAGCCTTAATGGGGAAGGCAGCAGTGGAGCAAAGAGCAAAGTAGTTGCTGGACCTTGGTCAGACCCCTATGTCCCTGTGATGGCCGGAGCTTCCCACGCCACCACTTACCGCTGGCACCACCAGAACTGATGTACCCATTATGCAAATATCTGAGTAGGAGCCTAAGAGATGTGCCCTGAACTTAAGATGTGGGCTTGGTCTTCCAGAGAGCAGGCCCCAGTCCCAGAGTTCTGAGGCAGAGTGAGCATCCTCCTGCCAGCTCATCTAGGCTCCACCGGGCCCCTCAGCCCAGCCCCCGAGCCCAACTCCCTGGCCCCCTGACCTGGTCTTGAGTTCAGAGGAGATATTGTCAAA